GGGAAAAGGGCGGCCTATAAATAAATAAAACAAAACAAACAAACAAACAAGTTTGACACCCCTGTTCTAGATCACTGTTTTTCTGAATACCTTCATGGAATACAAGTGTGCGGACAGCCCACAAAACTAAGAGCTCATCAAAAAAGGACACACAAGGCTATTATGTTAGCATATTATCATTTCTCAGATGGTCAAACAGAAGCATCCGATTCAGACAAAATCCAGAGGAAAATATCAGCAAAACCATCGTGAAATGAAACCAGGCAGCAAACCGTCATTAAATGCAGCCTGGTGCCTGAATGCTCTAAAGTGAAATCATGTGTGACCACAGAGAGACGGGGTGTATGTCAGTCTTCACGACCACGGTTGAGTCCGAAAAGTGTAAGTCGAGGACTCCCTTTCTCCAATGTTCTGTTTAATGTTCCAAGTTTGAAAAACGTCATCTCGAGAGATACTCACTCGTAAAATGTGGTCCACCCATTTTCATTGCTCTTGGTAGCTAGGAGGCCCGAGTTGCCATGATAGGTCATCATGGCTATCTCTTGGCCCTGCGCGGTCACACTCTTGAGGGCGCTGTTGGTGCCCATCGTCAGCCAATAGACCTGGCCATCTGGGACCACCAGCCACAGCGGCATCCCGGTCGAATCTCTCCGGATGTTAAGCAAATTTCCATTGTTGTCGGTCACGAGGGTGATGTCGCCATCCCCGGTGTAGGTGAAGTTGTACAGGTAATCTCCAGTCGGGAGGCTCTGCGTGAAAACGTGCTTGCCGCTGGCGTCAAACAGGTAGAGTTCCTGATCGATGGGTGAGGATAATTCGTACAGGTTCTGGTTGTTCAGGAAAGGTTTGTTTCTCCGGATAAAACGGATACGGATGTTCCCGAGATCGGCCACGTACAGCTCCCCGTCCGCGCACACCGCGAGGGAAGACGGCGCGTTCAGCTTGGCGTCCTTGGCGTACCCATCGTCCCCGGAGAAGCAATCGCAGTTGGCGTCGTTCTTGCAGTCGCAGCCGCTGGGGGCTCCGGCGACCAGCGAGATTTCCCCGTTCGTGGTGACCTGTCGTATCCGGTTGATCTTCTTCTCGTCGGTCTCCGCGATGTACAGGACGCCGCTGTGCGAGACCGCCACTGCCGTGGCCGATTCCAACGTGGCGTGAATGGCGACCTTGCTCAGAAGAAAGTGGTCGATCCCCGGGACTTGACAGTGCATCGGCCGGCCCGCCACAATGCGCACCTGGTGGTTTTCGGAAATCTGCAACACGACGTTGTTGTCCAGGACGTAGAGGGAATTGTCCATTGGGTTGACGGCCAGGTCGGTGGGCCACTCCAAACGAACCTTACAAAACAAAAGGAAGAAAAGGGATGGGTGAGATCGTTTCATTATTTCTCAGTTACTGGTAGTCCTCGACTTACGACCCCAATCAAGAGCGAAATATTCTAAGCACGTTTATTAAGGGAGTGGTATTCTGGATGTAATCGTGCCCGCTTGATCGTATTCCATTCTTTTGAATATAGTGCTCCTCGGATCCCAGCTATATGACCTCTGGAGCAATAGGTGAGGTTCACCCCAAGCGAGCGAATGCTGGGAGACCAGAGTGTAGGCCGGCTCACCTGGTCATAGAGAATATGCAGAATATGCTTTCCTTTCCTTTTGTTCTCTCTCTCTTTTTCCATTCCTTCCCCCCCTCTCTCTTTCCTTCCCTCTCTCTCATTCCTTTCCTTCCCTCTCTCTCTCTTTCCTATCCTTTCATTCTCTCTTTTTCTCTTTCCTTTTCTTTCCTTCCCTCTCCCTTTCCTTTCGTTCTCTCTCTGTTTCCTTTCGTTTGTTCTCTCTCTCTCTCTTTCCTTCCCTCTCTCTCCCTTTCCTTTCATTCTCTCTCTCATTCCTTTCCTTCCCTCTCTCTCTTTCCTATCCTTTCATTCTCTCTTTCTCTTTCCTTTTCTTTCCTTCCCTCTCCCTTTCCTTTCGTTCTCTCTCTGTTTCCTTTCGTTTGTTCTCTCTCTCTCTCTTTCCTTCCCTCTCTCTCCCTTTCCTTTCATTCTCTCTCTCATTCCTTTCCTTCCTTCTCTCTCCCTTTCCTATCCTTTCATTCTCTTTCTCTTTTCTTTTCTTTCCTTCCCTCTCCCTTTCCTTTCGTTCTCTCTCTGTTT